ATGAGTTTTACGGTAAAGATATGGCATCAAAGGCACTAGTGAATGCAAGATCAATGTTACCTTGGGCCGTAAAGAGAACTGTACTAACGCAGGAGGTTTTACGAGTGATGTTAGGTTGTAGTAGGCTTCTACCATGGGAGGTGGTTGTTAGACATATTGAGGAAATCGTGTTACGAATGCAGTTTTCTGGATATACCAAGAAATTCAGGTACGAGGTTGTCGATTCAGCACTTAAAGCATATAGAGTGATGGAAGAAGCTGAACGAAAAGGTGAAAGACCGGTTCATCGACCAAAAGGTTGGAAGAAGAAAGAAAGAGAGCAAGAGAAGCTTAGAAAGGAAGTCAGTTGGTATAAGAAGGATGGTAGTGAGTCTGTTATTTTTGTCCCGGCAACACCAGGATCACGGTTGAAGAAAGCATACGAACGAGAGATACAGAGCCAAGGTTTTAAGGTTAGAGTGATCGAGAAGGTTGGTGAAAGTTTAAAGACGATGTTGCAAAGATCGAACCCATTGAAAGACCGTCATTGCAAGAAAATGGATTGTTTAGTGTGCACAACAGGGGGAAAAGGGCCTTGTGATCGGCAGGGGGTGACGTATGAGATACTTTGTAATGAGTGTGGAAATATGTATATCGGGGAGTCATCACGGAGTGCATACCTGAGAGGGACTGAACACAGAAAGTCACTAAGTAGCAAGGATGAACACTCAGTACTTTGGAAACATTGTAAGGAGAAACATGGGGGTAGATGTCAGAGTTTTCGCATGAACGTTACAGGTATTTTCTAAGGATGCTATGTTAAGGCAAATTAGCGAAAGTGTGAGAATAGATAAAGCGTTACCACAATCACTGATCAATTCGAAAACGGAATGGAACTCTTTTCGTGTACCCAACCAGACGTTTTGAACTGTGGGATGCTTTTATGGTTTGTACATGAAGTAATAGGAGGGAAAACGTTTCAGTCAGAAGACATGAAGTATTGACTTATTATTATTTAACATGGCGTCAAACTGAAGAGGCTGAGAATCAGCGAAATATATTTTATTTGCCATGGTTTTAAGTTTTAGTTTTTTGAATTTATTTTAACAGTTTTAATAATTAGGGTCTAGGTTTTATTAAATGTGTTGAAAGAGAAACTTATGGACGATATGTCAAATTCAAACTGCCTGAAATATTTTGACATCACTTTCTGCAAACGTCCATCTACCAAGATGGTATACTTATTGCATTATTATCAAAGCAGCAAGTATTCAACTTCACATTTGATAACAATTATCAAATCAGTGATATTTAAGATTAAATATGTAGTTCTATGGCATACGCACGGACGAGTGACATTAATCGCCATCAATTAAAAAACTTTACCCTGTTATTAAATGTTATAAAAGCAATAATTATGTTTACGTTCTTTTTACCAAAACGCTAAATATTACCAAACAGTACAGAAAAGAACTTTGCTTTTAATATTCTCAAATAGCATAAAATATTCATGAACTTTAATGAATTATTAGCTATGTGTTTATGTAATGAACTTTGAACAAGTTGTTCACATTTTGTTCCACAGTCATTCTGTAGTCGTAATCTTTTTTCAAATGTTTTGTTATTGACACTAAAGACACTTCAACCGAGCCTTGTAGTTGTCTCGTTTAGTCCTACATTCATTGTCCTGGCCATAATTATGCAGTAGAGCTATATATTTCGTGCTAAGGCTGTTAGCAAAAAAGAGACAATAGAAAATTAACGGTACAAATTTAATTTGGTAATAAAAATTGAACACATTTGCTTTAATCTTTGATTACAACTACTTTTTAAAAGTATGTTGTTGTTTATGTGGTTCCAATGGGATTGCACCACTGAGCTGTATTATAATCAGGGGCGGATTCAGACCGTTGCAACCGTAGCATATGCTACGGTCAGATTTTACCGACATATTTTTTTCCAGGGTGTACCTTTGGAAAACGAAATAATTGCTAATAATTTCATATTTGAAATTTACAAAATTACCGGTAATCCGGTATATTGAAATAGTTTTTATTTCATTTTGGATGATTAAATTCGGGTTTTTATCAAATTTCTGCCCGAAATTAGCATTATATTGCCCGTATTTGCGGGTTTTACGGCAATTGCTATATCACATCGTTCTGAAGTCGAAGCAAGTCATTGCAAACTGTAGCATTTGCCTCATTCTGATTGGCTTGCCCCATCTAACTGTAGCAAACCAATGATAGCGCTGTATTTACAAATTTTTGCAGTGGTCATATTGAAACTGACCGCTGCAAAAATTCGCAAATACAGCATTCTGATTGGTTTGCTACGCTCAGACGGAGCAAGCCAATCAAAATGAAGCAAACTGCTACTGTTTGCAATAGTCGCTTCGACTTCAGAACGATGAAGTTGACTTGTTGTCGTATAATCGTATTGCCGCTCCTCGTTGCTTGACTTGTAATCAATAGAGTGAATAACGCGGTAGTTACTAAGTAGACATGGCTTCTACAGACCCACTTGATGAGCTTCTTTGTATACTGAACGAACGTATTTCGTTTGACGAAAAGGCGAATAAAATAGCCTCTGTTAAATCCCTGTGTGAGAAAGTGGTCGTGGAGGAATCGCTAAGGAACGTCTCGGATAATCGAAAGGTTTTGGTGTGCGATTTTTCGCATTTGCAGTTCCCACGAAGCGAACAACAGCGCTGTTTAAATCACCTTCCTGTCAGGTCACTCTTATGAATAATATATAAAATATGTAAATTGTTTACACATTTCATTCTTGTCGAATATATTACCATATTTTGCTTATGTATAAAAAATACAGAACAATGGCCTCTCATCCTAATTTAATAGCCATGTAATATGTGTCATGTGTGTATATTATTGAAGAAATATGTGAGTTAATATGCTATATATTTATATCTTAGACCCTGCAGTGTTTTATCTTAGACACTGCAGTGTTCATGAACTTATTCGTGTGAAATATACCTGCACAGGCTGTTGTCTGACTCTGTTGTCTATATGTGTATATATACAGTGGTAACTGCTAACAGAGTTTCGAATTACACTATAATCACATACCCATAATAGTAAACCAGAGTATTTCCTCAACAGCACAGTAATCAAGTTATCATAATTTAGAATTACATATAGACAATAAAGCCTGCTTCCTGGCTGCGATAGTGTATTTTGTATTTGCTTACCTACACATGGTACTGCAAGCTATTAATTGGCACATAAAAATAATACCACTGATTAATTACAGTAAGAGATTCGCAGCACCATTGGACACACAAGCTTAATTTATAAATGTGTAATTATTCATTACTGACAACTAACTAAAATACAGGATTTACCTAGATTAATTTAAATTATTTATAAATGTCCTGAAATATATGTGCAATAAGTGGATGTGGAACCAAATGTCAAAGTAACATTATAGGTAAATGTGAAGATAGATAAAGATTAATAAAGTAACTAAGTAGGTTAATTACATAATTTTGTCTTTGAGCAATTTCCACAAATGTACAGTGTATTGATAGAGTTATTAACTTGAATTTTTTAACACCTGTATTCTAAAAGCTCATTCATGCTCACACTCAAATAGTGGAGTTTGAATTTCAGCTCCCCTTACGTGTGTCAGTGCATAGCTTAAGGGTCCCACTTATTATATCTTTTTGTATGCAAAAACAGTACATAGTTTTCTGTATTTCCCATATTTAGGACTACTGGAGATGGCAATTGCTTGTACAATGCATGTTCCATTGCATTGTGTGGCAAGGAGTCTCTGGCGTCTTACCTGCGTTGTCTGACAAGCATTGAACTTTTTTAAATTCTTCGTTTGATGCTAAACATCCCATTATTGAGCAGCAGCACAAAAAATGTGCATTTAGTTCCATTGCAAATACTTTTGCAATGTGTTTGTCTGATATTGCTCTTGGTTTTGTAACAAAAGAAGATCCTTGCGCACCAATACTCACTGAAGCATACAGCAACGCAATGAATCATCAATGGAGTTCTTTTATTTGTCTTCTTTCCCTATCAAGTGTTGTTAAACGTCCAATCGAGTCGTATTTTCCAATTACACCTAATGAAGAAAAAATTGACTCCCTGTCTACAATGTTTAACTGCACTATATATCCGCGAGAAATAGCAACATCAATTTCAGATCAGAAAATTCATTTATTTCGTTGTGCATTAATGCCTATGGATTATTCCAAGCTTGGTAAAGTTCCTGCGACCAAAAATCACTATGTTGCTCTTTGTGAAGCAAAAGAAAGCAGCAGTAAGGTAGGTGTTCGACACTTTGTTATGAAGAAAGTTTCACCAGGTATTAATATCAGTTCGACACAAGTACGAAATGTTACGCCGCCTACCAAGCAAACGCCGCCACCGTTATGTAGTACTGTGCCTGTGGCAACTTCCTCTGCCTTTGTACCCGCAAGAAACTCTTCTTCATCGCAACCAGTTAAAAAGAAGCAGACCATTCTTGACAAGCTATTCCCTAAAAAAAGAAAGTTTGCCGAGGAAAGTGACGACGAAGATATTCCAAAGCCGAATCTTTTGTCTAAAAAACGTGTACCTAGTTCATTGGTTTCAGAACACGTACCTGAATGTTCAAGATCCGAAACATCGTGTTCCCCAAATGATATAGCTAACTTTGTCAACAGCAACTCCTTAACTGATACGCAGAAGTACGAGGTTCTTTGCAACGTTTGGGTACCATCTACAAACTTTCCATTTCCTTTGGTAAACGGCAGGAAGTTTCGCTTGGATTGGATCAAGTTGTTTCCGTGGCTGACGTACTCGCAAAAGTTGAATGGAGCTTTCTGCATAAACTGCGTGCTGTTTGGTTCAGAATGTACTGGGATGCACAATACGAGTAAGTTGCAAAGGCTTTTTAAAACCCCATTCACCACATGGCAGGTCGCACCCGCTAAATTCAGGGAGCATTCCGAGAAGTCACCACTTCACAAAGCAGCCACAGCGCGTGCAGCAGTACTAAGATCTCATATGGAGCAAAGGTCTGCACCCATTGATGTTATGTTGGATGATATGAAAAGGCAGCAGATAGAGGAAAACAGAAAACTTCTGAGACCCATTATCGGAGCAATCGTTCTTTGTGGCAGGCAAAATATTCCCTTGCGTGGACATAGAGATGATTCTTCGAACTATCTGTCAGATGAGGTTAACTGTGGTAATTTCATTGAAATCCTAAAGTACGGTGCAATGTGTGCTGGTAAGACTCTTGAGGAACTTTTCAAAAGCACTCCTAAGAACATGACCTACAAATCAAAAACCACTCAGAATGAAATAATTGATATATGTGGCGATATGATAACCAAAAAACTTACTGATGAGATCCGCGAAGCAAGGTTTTACTCCATTCTCGCCGACGAAGCATCAGATTGTAGCAACATAGAACAGCTTAGTATCGTTATCGGTTTGTAGACAAGCAGTGTCAAATAAGAGAAGAGTTTCTTGGCTTTGTCCCGTGCAAAAAGGGTGTGTCTGGTGAAGCTGTTGCCGCTACAATTGAAGAATTCCTTCGGGACCAAAATTTGCCGATTGATGATTGTCGTGGTCAGGGTTATGATGGAGCCGGGAACATGGCAGGGCGATTATCTGGAGTAGCAGCTAGAATACAAGAAACCAACAAGAAGGCTCTGTATGTTCACTGTAACTCTCACCGTTTAAACCTTTGTGTCGCCACTTGCTGCAAAGAACAACTGGTAAGGAATATGATGGAACATGTTCGTGTTGTCTCGGAGTTCTTTAATTTTTCTCCGAAGCGTTTTGATTTGTTGGTCAAGACCATCCACGAAATGCTTCCTACAGCGAATCATAAACGGCTGATAAATGTTTGCAAAACAAGATGGGTGGCCAGAATCGATGGTTTATGTGTTTTTATCGAGGTTTTCCCTGCAATTATTAGATGCTTGGAAATCATTCGTGACAATGTCGGCGACAATTGGAATCCAGATTCTGTCCGAAAAGCTGTTTCTTTATATTCAGCAACCGTGTCCTTTCCATTCATTGTCGCGTTAGTTGTGGTTTCAAAATGTCTTCTGGTGACTCAACCGCTCACGGTTCAACTGCAGGAATCCGCTATTGATGCTGGAGCAGCTAGAGAAAAAGTATCCGCTCTTTACGTTCATCTAGAGAAAATGAGAAATGACGTGGACGCAGAACACGACTCGTGGTACAAAGAAGCTGAATCCATGGGAACCAGTGTTGGAACTCAACCAGATCAGCCAAGAACGACAGGGAGGCAACAACACCGCGCTAACACACCAGCTGATACACCGTCACAATATTACCGTAGAGTAATTAGTGTGCCCTTTTTGGATCATCTTAAATCGGAAATCCAAACACGATTGTCGGAGACAAACCTTGACCTTATGGATGCAGTGTATGGTTTGCCAAAAAATGTTCTTATCTACCCTGACTGGAAAACCAAATTTTCTAAGTTCCTCAACATGTATATGGACGACTTGCCTTACCCTCGCTTTCTCGACACTGAATTGGAAATGTGGGCTGAACGTTGCCAAATGGAAAAGGGTCCTCTGCCTTCTAAACTGGCTGATGTTTTACCGTTTGTCGACAAAATAAGTTTTCCCAATATATTCACCGCTTTTCAAATTTTTGCAACAATTCCTGTTACCACTTGCACCTGCGAAAGGTCCATTTCCGTTTTACGCCGATTGAAGACTTATCTTCGCAGCACCATGTCAGAATCCAGATTAAAAGGCCTAGCCTTGTTAAATGTCCATCGCAAAATTCATCTGGATACTGAAGAGATAATTGATCAATTTGCCCAGAAAAACCCAAGAAGAATGATGCTTAAACTCTTCTGAATCGTATTTTATAACTGCGCATTCCAGAAAAACAACATTTGCCCTAACATTTACTATATCCAGATGATTCACCAGTGGATATTTTGGTTGCCTTTCTCCTTCATTTCAAGATGATTTATCAATGAACATTTACTTAACTATCTCCTTGCTGCTGTCTCCAGATGATTCACCAGTGGATATTTTGGTTGCCTTTCTCCTTCATTTCAAGATGATTTATCAATGAACATTTACTTAACTATCTCCATGCTGCTGTTTCCAGATGATTCACCAGTGGATATTTTGGTTGCCTTTCTCCTTCATTTCAAGATGATTTATCAATGAACATTTACTTAACTATCTCCTTGCTGCTGTCTCCAGATGATTCACCAGTGGATATTTTGGTTGCCTTTCTCCTTCATTTCAAGATGATTTATCAATGAACATTTACTTAACTATCTCCTTGCTGCTGTCTCCAGATGATTCACCAGTGGATATTTTGGTTGCCTTTCTCCTTCATTTCAAGATGATTTATCAATGAACATTTACTTAACTATCTCCTTGCTGCTGTCTCCAGATGATTCACCAGTGGATATTTTGGTTGCCTTTCTCCTTCATTTCAAGATGATTTATCAATGAACATTTACTTAACTATCTCCTTGCTGCTGTTTCAATATGATTTATCAGTGAACATTTACTAAACTGCCTTTGTGCTGCTGTTTCAATTTATTTTTTGTTGAACATTTACTAAACTACCTTTGTGCTGCTGTTTCAATATTTTATCGTTGAGCATTTACTTAACTATCGTCGTGCTGCTATTTCAAGATGATTTCTCAGTGAACATTTACTTAACTATCTTCAGGCTGCTGTTTCAAGATGATTTTTCAGTGAACATTTACTTAACTACATTCGTGCTGCTGTTTCGATGTGATTTATCATTGAACATTTACGTAACTTGCTTCGGGTTGCGGTTTCAAGATGATTTAAAGTGAACAACGTTCCTATTATACTTCCGCTATTCTACTGATGTACAGATTATGATTGCAAGATGCTCCCTAACTCCGCCATTGCCGGTCCCAAGCCCGGATGAAAAAGGAGGAGGGTTGGTCAATGGGTCCGAAACCTATTCCCATAAAAGACCTATGGAGCAACTGAAACGCCTAAATGAGTTCAATGTTGTCAGAGATTTTTCTACGTCAAAGCGCTTTATGATTTCTGCAGCAGAATTTGTAATGCTACACTACAGCATGGAACAGCGCGTGATATTGCCATACGTGTCCTGCCGTTGTCTGTGGTTTGGAATTGTGGTCGCGTGTATATATGTAAATGAGGTGATTGTCCTCTGATGTTCTGCTATTCAGTAGAGAACAAAGTATGTTTCAATATTTTTCTGCTATTGTTTATGATATTTTTTTTACTTATTGTCTAAAATCTGACTTGGTTAAGGCCATATTTCAGAACAGAGTCTGATGCTCAGAACCCAGGAAATGTCATTTCCGGGCTTCAAATTTCAAAAATTTTCAGGGGGAGCATGCCCCCGGACCCCCCTAGATTGCGTAACATCTTAGAATGCTACTGTCAGATTGAACGGCTGAATCCGCCCCTGATAATTCCTGGAGGACTTGCTCCTCCCATTTCAGTAACTTTGTCCACCATCTTTTTGAAGCAAAAAACATGGCGAACTTTGCCTTCTGCACACTTTTTGCTTGACTTAAGTTTTTGATATGGAGTCTTTTCCACATAATCCAAAAAAAGGCTATGGTAAATAACAAAAATTAGATAATATGGTACAAAGACGATTATGGTACTGTTGTGCTATCAAACACATGTCTTTTGAATAAATGAAAATGCAACTGAGCCTTTTCATTTCTCCATTAGTCTATAATCTATTAACCTTCAATTCCTGATTAGCCCCATGATAATATTCCTTGTAATGGTGGGAAGGGTTAAACTGTCCAGAAAATTATTAAAGTTGCTGTAAATTGAAATCAAACTACTCAGTCAATGCATGTCTGTATAAATTTATTTCCATTTAAATAACTATTGTAACTATGACTAACAAAGTCAACATGGTAAAATTAACAGTATAATGTTCAAGTAATTTGCAAAAAAGCCATCCCCAAATTCCATAACATCTTCATCCTAAAAAAGAGAGATCAGGCCAAGTTTAACTGTACTCAATAGAATACACCCAGAGGACAGAGCCAGAGGGGAGTAGAAACCATTGCAAATTAACAAGCTTGAATAAAGCTTGTAGCTTGATTAACAAGGTACAAGATGCCAAGAAGTCCATTAAGCCACCATGATTATTGACTTTGCATTTGACATGGCAAACAAGATTACATGCTAAACTTTTAACAACCACTGTTAAAATCTAACAGTAAAATATTTTGTATAATCACTCACTCAGTGATCATGAATTCATAAAATACTAAAAAGGATCAACAGAGAGCATGAAAATTTTCAACAAAAGCTTTCTTGTGCCACTCTCAAAACTCTTATATTTAAAATGTCCATATAAAATAGTACTAAATACAATTGGCTTTGGCACAAGCTTAGTATTTTAGAAAATCAGCAATCAGCTCGAATACGCAGATAGCATAATTATTGTCATTCTAATTCGCGACATGGGTACTAGACATGTAAATTTTTAACAAAAGCTTTCTAGTGCCACTCTCAAAACTTTTATACTTAAAATCTCCATATAAAATAGTACTAAATACAAATCTCTCGGCTTGGCGCAAGCGTAGTATTTCAAAAAATCGACGACCACCTCGAATATGGGAATAGCATAATTATCCTCACTCCAGCGTGCGTTTGATGGGTATTAACATGCAATTTTTCAGCAAAAGCTTTCTTGTGCCAATCTGGAAACTTTTATATTTAAAATCTGCATATAAAATAGTACTAAATACAGTATCTTTTGGCTTTGACACAAGCGTAGTATATTTTCGAGAATCGGCGATAAGCTCAAATATGGGGATAGCTGAGTCAGCAATTTTTATTACTTATACTAGATACAGATGAACATGTGTTTTTTTTAACCAAATTTTCTTGTGCCACTCTAGAAAATGTTATATATAAATTCTCCAGAGAAACTAGTACTAAGCAAGATAAAAAATGAACTTTAGAAGAAATTTGAAGAAAAATAATGTCAGGTTTCCAGCAGATTATTATTCTATAATTACCGTGCCATGGGTACTGGATATAAAATTTTTCAAGCCTAGCTTTCTTGTGCCTCTGTTGAAACGTTTATATCTAAAATCTCCATAAATAATAGCATTAAGTACAGTATGTTTTGCTGCAAGCGTAATGTATGGCAAAAATTTTGAATGTGAGGACTTAGGATAGCCAGTATTCGAAGTTCAGCAAACTATTTCCTTCCTATCTTTTTATTATGCTCCAAACACAAATTTACTGAGTAGATATGCTTGGCTTATTTGCACTGTTCAAAATAATAAAATACAGGGGGAAATAATTTATTTAATCCGCAATGGACTTTTTCAATATATGTATGGTGGCCGAGCGTTGCCATAAGAAAGTTGCAAAATATTTAAAATTTTAAGTATTTTTTAAATGAAAAACCAAATTAAAATAAAACAAAAGCAATGCATATTTAAATAAATGTAAAATAAATGTAAAATAAAACAAATCGAAATTGAAATTCATGTTGGCCTATCGTTGCTATAGACCAAAATGCATTGCTGTTCAAAAATCAAAAGTTATAGGGATATGAATTGATTGTCCACTAGAATCCACATTTGTCAATGGGCATTGTCAAATAATTTCTCATACAGAACCAACATGGCGGTTGCACATATTCTAAATAAGGATTGGACAGGCGGTGATCTTTAAAAAGAAGAAATAAAAAGATATGTTAGAAAAGGCTTGATGCGTAAAGAGATGCTGGATTACCTTTACTAAGAACTTTCCACAGTACGCCTGGAGCTTTCGTAGCTTGGACAGGTAATGAAGAGAGTTCAATATCTATAAACACTGTCATATATGGACCATTTACGTCAAATCAAGTATGTGTAAAAATGTGGATTTTTATTGGAGTTATCCAGATTAACACATCTAGCCTTGGGCCAAGCAGATGCTGGATGGGTACAAGTTTAATTAATAACATCTTAATTTTGAAGAATGCCCCCTGCCAAATGCATCTGTCATTGTTGAGAGAACAATCAGATAACATCCAGTGAACTTTAATACCGGACGTGACCTTACACAAACTAGCCAATCATAAAACACTGGAACGTTTCATACATCTCATATCTTATATTCTTTTTACTCGGTTATGTTTGAAATAAATTGGTGTTATTCTTTAATACAATAAATATAAACAAAAAGGAAACAATGTCTCTCAATGCAATACACTCAACAGTCATATCCATTTTATTCAGATTGATTTTAGATTATAAAGCAATTAACTGTTTGTACGGTATACCACATTATAGATTGAGCGCTGGTGGAGGGAATTACATGAAAGGCTGGAAAAATATTTTAAACCTCACCTCAAAAGGCTCAAGGAGGAAGAAACTATGACCCCGGCAGTGTATCAGATAGGTCAGTGTATGGATACAAGCTGAATAATTGGAAAAGATTACACCAATATTAACCATGTGCAATTTATAGGTAATCCCAGTCAGAGTGTCTATTTTCAGATCTTTAGTAATTTTGTTTCTTTAGAATGATGCTGGCATTTAAATTCATTCCAGTGCTTCAAGAACAATTAGATGTATTTCGAGAGACTGTTTGGAACAGTCACAGAATTAGAAACCAGAGAGGCACTTCTCTTCCATATGGTATTCCAGATCACATCTTTGACTTTCCTGAACAACATGGATTTCTTAATCCATGAATGTGGTAGTTATTATTAACCTATAGTAAATCCTTACAAAAATATCTACTACAGGCTGTGGTAAACCCCAGCTATGGTCACTTTAATTTGTTTCTAACATGTTATATGCACTTAAGGGTTTGAAGTGACTGAACATCAATTGGAAGAAGTTGCAAACCACTCTGGGGTCTTGGAAATAGGAGATGATTACCTTGAGGAAGAATTCAGAGAAAGATGCCAGGAGGTAATCCCATACCTTGACAGAATTGCACCAGAAAACTGTGCTGACTCCTTCTTATACTTAAGAAATAACATGCCAGAATCATATTTAGCCAGTATTGTAACACAAAGTAGCAACTGAAGGGTCACATAGTTTGGTAGTTTTACCTAAAGTCTTTGGAACATCATCCTCTTAAAATGTGGTTGGAAAAAAGGTCCTGAATGCCATTTAGGGTATACTTTATTCTTTTGTCACTACAGTATGGTGACTTTCATTAACTCTTAGTCCAACATGTGATATATCATATATAGCACAGCTGTACTGTTGTTGCATTGTTCTGATATGCTCATTATCTCACAAGTGGAATTGCAACTTTTAAAACTTGAAAATTTTGTATTGATATTTGCTATTTTCTATATTTTGAACACAACAATAGTAACTAGACAACGTTCTTTGGTTTCTGACAGCATGATCATCATAATAATCATACACAATCATTGGTGTAGCTACAATCTTGGAAAAAATACTTGGAGACTCTTTGTTAATTTCACTAAAAATCTATTATAAAATGCTGTAATTGTACATTTTCCCTAAATTACTTACTGAATGCTCAATTCCCCCTTCCCCCTGAACAATGTTGAATAAAATAAAGTAACTTTCCAACATACAATACCGAAGTAGCAACATTGTGTAGGGGGAAAGGGGAAGACATGAAGAAATTGAAAAAGTCTACACATTTTTTTCCAGGATGACTAAATTAGTAATTTTTTATATAACAAGTTATTGTGAATTTTGAGCTCCAATCTTAAGAAATCTCACCAATCAGTTGTAAAAAATGATATTCCTGATTTAAATTCTGTCACCAGCGTTGGCGGTGGGTGGGGTGGGGGTTGTTGAATCAGGGGGGGTTGCATTGTCTTTTGAATGGATTTTCAGTTGGCTGAAGGGCAGGAAATCTGCAAATTTACTTTGTGCATTTTTGAGTTGACGATCTTTAATGCAGTTCTTTTATCATAGTTAACCTCAATTGTAGCACTTTCTTTATAGATGGCCAAAAAATGTTGCAAAAACGTCACTTTGGAGCATTCTGCTCAAATTAGAGCTGCATATCAATTGTCAAATATTTGAGGAAAAAAATTTTAAAATATTCCCTCAGTATTCTAAAGCTGCAATATATAAGCACGCTCAGAAGCCACTAAATGTGAGCCTGTATTTGACGAGAGGAAAGCAAATAAAGACAGACTTCAAAATTATCACCTCAAGACAAGAGAAGTATAGTGCTCTCTGTGGCAAGTCTCCAAGAAGAGGAGGGTTCTTTTACCTCTAAACATGTCCAGGTAGAAAGCAGCGTAGCCCATGTAAGTGGTTGCACTATTAGAAATTGCTTAAAAGAGGATGGATTCCGGTATTTGCAAACGCAAAAGAAAGGACTTCTTCATGCCAAAGATCTAAAATCAAGGGTAAAGTTTTGCAAGAAAATTAGAAGGCAAAATTTGGGCGAAGAGTTCTGGAGGACAGGGTTATTGTTTTATTTAGATGGAAAGGGCACGCACACCGGGGGCTCCAAGAGTGGAGAAAACAAGGAGAAGGCTTGAAGTTCAATTGCACTGCAAAAGGAAAAAAGGAAGGTGGTATCAATGTTAATTTCATGGTGGTAATATCCTATGGTAAAGGTGTAGTTCTCTGTGAACAATATGATGGGACAATAACAGGCCCAAAATTTGCAGAAATTGTCAAATTGTTTCCAAAAGCTTTCAAAAAATCATCAAACCCAAAAGCGAGAAGATTTCTAATGGATGGGTGTCCAAGTAGCAATGCGTGCTATCGACAAATTGAATGCATTTGTATTCAAAATTCCGCCACGAAGCCCTGACCTTAATTCGATTGAAAACGTTTTCCATACGCTAACAGTGCCACTGAAGAACGATGCACTGCAAAAGAATATTACCAAGGATACTTTTAGAGAGCTAACATCGCGAGTAAAACAGACTATTCTGAGCTTTAGTTCTGAGGAAATTGACAAAATCATTGACAGTATGGATAAAAGGATCACCGCAGTTCTTAAAGGAAAGGGTCAAACAACCAAGTATTAGTTTATTAAAAAGCGTAAATGTCTGTATCATTATATTCTGGAAATTTTTAAGTGCAAAAATCCAGCTGTGCTGCTGTATAATAGTAGTGATTTATCACTCACAAGATCGAATATCAAATGATTTTAATCAATACAAACATAGTAGAGTAACGTATTTGCCCCAAATTGGGCGGTTGTTCTATACTTTGTAACGAATATATATTATATATATCATATGATAAATCCATCACATGTTACATCATGTTACACTACATGTTTATGAGGGGTGATTACTGCCAAAATTAAATATATACTTATGTTATGTTGTTTGTCGGTGAGGTTATGTGCTTCTCAATTTCAATTATTTATTTCCACAATTGTGTTCGGAATTGTACCGCTGTTGTTCTGTTGCTGTATCCTATTGTGCATAACCGATTCTGTTATTTGCTTTCAAATTATGTTATGCATAATTGAATTCTGTTATTCACTTTCAAATTATATTATGCATAATCGAATTCTGTTAGTCGCTTTCGAATTACGTTGTGTATAATCGAATTATGTTGGTCGCTTTCGAATTATGTTGTGCATAACCGAATTATGTTATTCGCTTTCAAATGATATTATGCATAAACAAACCTCGTACCCAGGCCACTGCCCAGGCGCTTCTAATTATGCATTCTTTCACCGCGGCAAAATTAATTATGCAAGCCTTGCAGAACCACATGCGGTACGATGCACCATATGCAAAAATGGCGGACGATCAAGAAGTACCATCGAGTAATACACCTCGCCAACGAGCAGTCAACTTATTATGCGTTGTGCAGAATCTTCTGCAAAATGATGGAGATAACAGCAACGTGCATACTACAAGGAACGTAACATCAGTTCCTTCGAGTGGTATTGCCAGTACCAGTGCTTCTCAAGCATCGACACCATCAACAAGCTCAACTTTGCAGAATTTTCACTACTTGTTCGCCCCGTATGCATCATCATCGAGAAACCAGACACGTCCTGCTCCGCCAAAGCGCAGAAAATAAACAAAATCACAAATAGAACACTTTTGTAGACAATGTCTCTTGTACTGTCGGTATCTAATTTATCTTTCGGCTTTGGAAATTCTTGTTGTAATGTGCGAGTCGGTTGGAATGAAACACGAACTTTCTCCCGTTGTAATGTTCTTGTAATTTTCTCGGTGACCCCCTTTATATATGGTAACATAACATAACTAGATGACTCTGTCGAGTTTCGTGCTGCATTCCCATGCGGACTGCTTAATTTCTCATGTCAACATCGCCTATTGTCACAGCTTTTGATGAATTTTAAGGGATAGCTGTTGTCTTTTAAGACCTTTATAATATGTTTTTTCTCTCTGCGTTTTCCCCGCTTGGATGAGGGGACTTTCTCCGCCCTATCGAGTAAGGTATTCACTACATATCGTTTATGTTGTAAAGGGTGATTAGACGTGTAATCCAAGTATTTGTCGGTATGCGTCTTTTTTCGGTAAACATCTACTCTAATTTGAACATTTTGTCTAATTGTAACGGTGTCCAAAAATGGCAATCTATTATTCTCTTCCACTTCAACCGTGAACTGGATTTCATTGTCTATTGAATTCAAATGCTCATGGAACTCTTCTACATGCTTGCGTTTTAGGCAGGCATGACTATCATCAACATACCTGAACCACCAACGGGGTGGGTGGGCGCCAGTTGTTAAAGCAATTTCTTCTATATGTTCCATAACAAGATTAGCTATAGTAGCACTAATCGGCGATCCCATTTCACATCCAGATGTTTGCTGATAATATTCATTCTTGTACGTGAAATAGCTATTCTTCAATACAAACTCTAAAAGTTTTAGAATATTAGAGACTGACATTTGAGTTCTAGTTGATAATTCTCGATCACTTTCAAGTTTGTCCTTAGTTATCTTTAGAGCTGAATTAACAGGGATTGATGTAAACAACGATATGACATCAAATGAGACCATGACTTCGTCAGTTGAGATGGACTTGTCTTTCACACGTTCGCTAAAGTCCGTGCTATTATACACACTATATCTCCCTGTAAAGCCCAAATTATAATTTATAATTATAGAGTCAATTGCGTAGCGCAGGCTCAGGAAAATAAACCTTATTTAAGGGCGAATTTTTTGGATCATTTAGTATATGATAGAACTTTGTAGAAGAACGTTTATTGAGAAGACTATTTATGTGATAAACTAGATCGATTCCCTCAATGTGAGGTAAGATTTGTATGTATTTACTATAGTTGACTTATAGATAGGATTCATTTCTTTATGTATGTTATTTAGAAAACCGACAAAAAGAAAGATTGATTTTAATGCTGTGTATTTCTCGTGTTGGGGAATTAGTAGCAGTTTTGGTTGCTACATAAGTTTTCTCACAAGGAAGATCTGGCTACGATATGGCGTCCGAAAGCGATATGGCGGTCAACAAAGCAGAACAGCCAAGCCGAACTAGATTCAGCCGAAATATAGATGGTGCTCGTGAGGAGAAGCTGCGGAGCTTAAAAGCGTCTAACTCGGCGTATCGTGGAGCGATTACTCGAGTTAAAAGGCGGATAGAACAGTTGATGACCGATACCAGCAATTTTGAAGAAGTGCAAGTCGAAAAAGCTTCGCTGGATAAAACGTTTATTAGTTATTCAAAATGCTGTCAAGACATCAGAGATTGTTTGCGCGAGGACGAAGTAACTGAACTCTGTGGTGTGATGAATGAGTATGCGAGTGTTTCAAATACTAAAGAAAATCTGGATCGGAAGGTCGAAGAATGGGTATCGAACACAGAAATTGGTTTAAACCCGGGTTCTAAAGAACACTTCGAGCCAAGCAAATTAACGACGTCTCGCGTGAATGAACATGAAAGGTTAACAACATCGTATGAATTTGCATATCCAAATATGCAAGGTCATGGTCACGGTCATGGTGTCTCAGTTATCGGCAATGGGAAAACAAGTTTGAGTCGTGCTTCGCCCGGTATGATGGAGTTGCAATATTTCAAGTCGAGAAATGAGACGCCTGAATCCCGACGTAAAAATAGCGTGACTCGAAGCGCACGAGCAAGCGTAGTGTCTGAAAGTGCGAGTTTTAGAAGAGCAAAAGCCGAACTGGAAAAACAACGGTGTATAGAAACTCAGGAGATTGAACGGCAACAACAGGCTATTGATCAACAGCTAAAGTTGGTGCAAATTAGACAGGAAATGGAATCGAAACGAGCTGAACTACAACGCAGACGTGAACTTATAAAGCTCAATAACGAAATAGAACAGGCTAAGTTGGAAGAGGAAGCTGAGAAGTTATCGATAAACTATACAACTTCAGAATTACAACAAGATAGCACTGTGGCAGCTGATAGAAGAACTGGATTGTGCAGAGAGCTGGCAACCGAGGACTCGTCTAAGTTTTTTAAATCGTCAAAATTTAATGTTGGTGGGATATCACGTCGTGATTCACCTATGCAAAAGCGGCAAGAGTTTCAGTCACCAGAAATTCTAGTTCCCGAGTCTCGTGTAACGCAGAACACTCCAATCAAACAGAACGTCACTCGATCTAAAGAACGTGAAACTGCAAGCTCACTTCTAAGGATGAAGCCAGTTGAAGGGAGATATGCTGCGGGTGAATCTGATCCATTGTATCGAATACTCCAGAGTCAACAAGAATCATTGATCCATATGGCTAATACTCTTGGATCATCGATCAGGAAAGGGTTTGAAATGCCAAAGCGGGACTGTCTTGGGTTCGACGGAAATCCGATGAACTATCCTAGATTTATAGAGAATTTCAAGACCAACATTGAAGAAAGGGAACGAGAACCAAGAGCCAGGTTAGCTTATCTCATTCAGCTTTGTACTGGTGTCGCGAAGGATGCCATTAGTAACTGTGTTATGTTGCCTGATGAAGAAGGATTCTCGAAAGCTAAAGAAATACTTCATAATTCGTTCGGTCAAAGTCATATCATTACGCACGCGTATATCGATAAAGTGACAAGGGGAGGTTTAATTAAAGACGGTGATAGCGACAAGTTATTACAGTTGGCGCGAGATATGGAGAACTGTCAGATCAATTTAACTCAACTCGGCTGCGAGTCCGAAATTAATGCCCAAAGTAATTTAGAGAGGATTGTCGCACGGCTACCCAGGTACATGCAGGCGGAGTGGGCGAAAGAAGCGTTTGCTCTGTTGGAAAAAGGAAAAGTCCCTACCTTCAAGAATCTAACAAGTTTTGTGACTGTGAAAGCGAAATTGGCGAGTAGTGCATTTGGTAAACTGATCGGTGCAAAGCCTCAAGATGATAAATACCCAAAATTGAAGAGAAACCCTCACGGGACATCCTTTGCAGCTGAAGGCAGACTGAACGTTCTGAAGTGTTACCATTGTGAGAAGATTGGTCACTCGTTAGAAAAGTGTTTCTCTTTCAGAAAGGAATCCTTGAATGCCAGAAAGGACGTGGTACGGAAAGAAAAGCTGTGCAACTTATGTCTTGGTAAAGGCCATTTCGAAAGGCAGTGCAGACGGAAAGAAACGTGCATGGTAGCTGAATGTGGACAACGACACCACAGCTTATTGCACCCCGTGCAACAGCTCAAAGAAGACTGGAAACCTCCGGAAGTTGAAGAACAGGTTGACAAGAATAACAAGCCAGAATGTGAAACAAATAATGGTCATTGTACTGCTACTGGGGCCGGAAGGCCGAGAGTTCGTTTACGTGTAATCCCCGTCACGGTTCGTGGTATAGATGAAACACACGAAGTTCAAACATATGCCTTATTAGATGACGGTTCAGATGTATCTCTTTGCCACAGCAGTCTTGTTAGACGACTCGGAATTACTGGTGTTCCAACGACATTTTCCTTAACCACAGTGAATGAAGAAGCGAAAGAGAACCGTGGAGAAGAAGTCAGATTGATAGTTTCGGATCTGGACGGCAGTGAGAACGTTGACATTACGCGGGCATGGACAGTGAGCAATCTGCCTATTTCCAAAAGATCAATTCCGACAGCTGGTGATGTGTCTGGCTGGTCTCATTTGGATGGAATCGTGTTTCCAGAGCTGGAGAATGAAAACGTCAGCATAATCATTGGTAGCGATGTTCCAGAAGCCCATTGGGTTTTGGAACAACGACGTGGTCAACGTAAGGAACCATATGCAGTAAGAACTCCTCTGGGTTGGACACTCATGGGACCAATTGGAACAGAAACCGAGCAAGGCTTCCAGATAAATTTCATTCGGAAAGAAGATAACACTCTTCAAGAACAAGTTGAACGAATGTTTCGTATGGATTTTAGTGAGTCTGACTTTCATTTGGGGAAAGGAATGTCATTTGAGGATCAAAGAGCCTTGAATATTATGGAAAGTTCTGCGAAGAAAGTAAATGGACATTATGAAATATCATTACCGTGGCGTGACGGTTCACCTAGTTTCCCTAACAACAGAAAGATGGCCGAGAAAAGATTAATTTCCTTGCAACGACGTTTGAAGAAAGATACACATTTGAAGGAAAATTATCGGAACGTCATTGAAGGCTACCTCGAGAAAGGTTATGCTGCTAAAGTTCCGGAAGAAAGAAGAACGAGTGAATGCGAGAGTACGACTGGTAGAGTCTGGTACTTGCCACATCATCCAGTGTTCCACGCACAGAAGCCTGAAAAGGTTCGCGTGGTCTTTGATTGCGCTGCAAGGTTTGGCGATACCTCATTGAATGATCAATTATTACGTGGACCGGATTTAACCAATACGCTGATCGGAGTTCTCATTCGATTTCGCCAGGAACCGGTTGCTCTAACCTCGGACGTTGAGGCCATGTTTCACCAAGTCAGAGTTAACTCGCAGGATAGTGAAGCTTTACGATTTCTCTGGTGGCCAGATGCCGATCTTTCTAAACCACCGCAAGATTACTCAATGCAGGTGCATTTGTTCGGAGCAACTTCGTCACCTAGTTGTGCGAACTTTAGTCTCCGGAAAACTTCTCAAGACCATCAATACGAGTTTGATAAAGAAACAGTCAACACCGTTGAAAAGAATTTCTACGTGGATGATTGCTTGAAGTCAGTTGCGACTGTTGAAAAGGCTACACGGCTTGCAAGTCAATTACGTGCAATGCTCGCGAAAGGTGGCTTCCATCTTACTAAATGGGCAAGTAACAGTCGTGAGGTATTGGCGTCAATTCCTCCAAGTGAACGAGCGTCCCCGTTGGTTAATCTCGATTTTGAGTCGTTTCCAGAGTTGGCGGCGTTAGGCGTCATTTGGGATGTCGAAACAGATACATTTCGTTTTCGCATCGTAGAAGGTAACAACGTCAAGACGAGAAGAGCTATGTTATCATTTATCAGCTCAATGTATGACCCTTTTGGAATTGCATCACCATTCATCCTTCCAGGAAGACAAATTCTCCAACGTTTGTGTTCAATCAATTACGACTGGGATGAAGAGATTCCGGAGGAAGAATTGTCAACTTGGAACATCTGGCAAAAATCGTTGGCTCAGCTGTCGACCGTTGCTATTCCACGGTGTATCAAGCTCAATTTGGCAGAGAAACTGAGCGATGTTCAACTGCATACCTTTGCCGATGCTTCCAGACTAGGATATGGAGCAGTGTCATACTTGCGTCTTGTTGATGTGAACAACCATCTTATCATGTCATTCCTCGCTGGAAAGTCTCGAGTGACGCCAACGAAGCAAGTTACAATTCCAAGATTGGAATTGACCGCGGCTGTCCTCGCAGTGAAGTTAAGTCATCAATTGGAAGAGGAGTTGGAGATCTCAGTGGATCGTATTGTCTTCTGGACCGATTCCACGATTGTATTGCAATATCTTAACAACGAATCTACGCGTTTTCAAACGTTTGTGGCGAACAGATTGGCAGTAATTCACGACCTGTCCAAACCATCACAGTGGAGATATGTTGAAACAGCCTTCAACCCTGCTGATAGTGCATCTCGTGGTATTAATCCAACTGACCTAAGGAAAACACAAGCATGGCTCGATGGTCCCGAATTCTTGCAATGCGAAGAAGATAGGTGGCCAAAGAATCCAGATGAGATAAAGCAAATGCCTGATGAGCACCTGGAATGGCGAAGAACTGCCCAGATTAACGAAATTACAGCAGAGAAGCGGATCAACATGACGGATAAGCTCTTGGAACGTTATTCTTCATGGTATGCTTTGCAGAAAGGTGTTGCCTGGTTACTATGTTTCTTAACGTTTCTGCGACAGAAGAAGCACATTAGGATACAGCAACAAGCTTTATCAGGAAGCTTATTAGTTCGTGAAATTCGTGCAGCAACAACCAAAATCGTGAAGTATGTACAACGACAATGTTTCCAAGATGAAATACGGACTTTAGCGACAACCGTAGCTGACGGACAAAAATCCTCGAAAGTGGTTACGGAAAATCTGATAATGAAAAGGAGCAGACTGCGAAAGTTAAATCCAATCTTGGTTGAAGGAGTACTGCGAGTTGGAGGCCGACTCGAAAGATCTTCGATGTCATTCGACGCTAAGCATCCGATGATCTTGCCCCAACATCACCATGTTACCGAACTGATTATCCGTGACTCTCATGTAAGTGAAGGACATATAGGACCTACTCAAGTGTTGGCAACCATCCGCCAGACATTTTGGATCATCCATGGACCTACCGAGGTGAGACGAGTTATTAGAAGTTGTATCGATTGTCAGAAACGAAATGCAAAGCCCGGAGAGCAGATAATGGCTCCTCTTCCTGAAGCAAGAATCACTCCACAAAACTCACCGTTTACCTTTGTGGGGGTAGATTACTTCGGTCCATTCATGGTTAGTCAAGGTCGGAGCCAAGTAAAACGATATGGGTGTTTGTTTACCTGCCTGACAATCAGAGCCGTACATATAGAGATTGCCCATTCTCTGGATGCCGAATCCTTCCTTTGTGCATTCAATAGATTCGTAAGTCGGCGAGGTCAACCTACTGATGTCTATAGTGACAACGGTACCAATTTTACAGCAGCACATTCCGCTCTCGAAGAAGAGTTCGAGAAACTTAGAGCCAAATCGTCTCAGTCAATCATCACAGATCGTTTACGGAAGCGATACATACAGTGGCATTTTAACCCGCCTGCTGCTAGCCACATGGGTGGCGTTTGGGAGAGGCTTATTCGCTCCATCCGTCGAATTTTAAAGGCATTATTACAAGGACAGAGAGTGAATGATGAATGTTTGTTGACGTTTATGGCAGAAACGGAGAGAATCCTGAATGATCGTCCGTTAACCCGTCAAGAAGATAATCCGAATGACCTTGAACCGTTGACCCCAAACAAACTACTTCTCTTGCGATCAGAGCAACCACCTCCACTGGGAAGTTGGGTAACCGCAGATAAGTTCTCTAAACGATGGAGACAAGCTCAGCAGCTCGCAGATGCATTCTGGAAAAGATGGGTGAAAGAATATTTGCCTCTGCTTCAAGAACGACAAAAATGGCTGACGGAGAAACGAAATTTACAACCTCAAGATCTGGTGTTATTGTTGGACGAGAGATTGTCGCGAGAACAGTGGCCTCTTGGCATTGTTGAAGAAGTGTATCCTGACAAGAATGGAAGAGTACGACAAGCGTTAGTGCGTACATCCAAGTCGACATTCAAAAGAGATATCAGAAAATTATGTTTACTAGAAGGAGTCTGTTAAGTATTTGGACTCCATATGTAAGTTAGAATATTTATTATGGCGTATTTATAGGATAGTATTTGGACAAATTTAGATATAGTAATATAGTTAATTGATAATTTGGTTTAATAATTGGTTATCAAGCCGTGGACTTGATAGGGGCCGGTATGTAAAGCCCAAATTATAATTTATAATTATAGAGTCAATTGCGTAGCGCAGGCTCAGGAAAATAAACCTTATTTAAGGGCGAATTTTTTGGATCATTTAGTATATGATAGAACTTTGTAGAAGAACGTTTATTGAGAAGACTATTTATGTGATAAACTAGATCGATTCCCTCAATGTGAGGTAAGATTTGTATGTATTTACTATAGTTGACTTATAGATAGGATTCATTTCTTTATGTATGTTATTTAGAAAACCGACAAAAAGAAAGATTGATTTTAATGTTGTGTATTTCTCGTGTTGGGGAATTAGTAGCAGTTTTGGTTGCTACACTCCCTTTAATCAGAGGTGATAAAATAATTACTAGGTGTTTTGAAAGATTGTACGTAGGAAACAAGATCGAGCTGGTGATCGGATGAAGCGGTATATCCGGCTTATGGATCTTGGGTAGACCATAAAACGTTGCCGGTGACGCGCCTGAACTATGTAAATAGGCGTAAAGTTTCTCGTTAATCTGTGGTAGACTGTTGTCATTAAACGATCTTTCGGATTTAATACCTCGTAGGAGTTTGTTTAGATCTTGTTCTACCTTACTAGTAGGGTTTCTACGCTTGTCTGTAATTCTTAAGTAGGTCTTTTTATCAAGTAATAAATCAGAAAAATTTTTTATCATAATCCTTAATATTCATAACAACGATTGCTTTCCCTTTGTCAGCTGGAACAATAGTAATTTCTTTATCTCTCTTCAAATTTCGTAAAGCAGAACTTCGTTGTTTAGAAAGGTTGGTTGTGTTCAACTCCTTGGTATTTGTAAAGTATTAACAACAGATGCTCGTATGGTGGCCTTGCTTTCCTCACTTAAATGGTAAATACCCGATTCAATGCTGGCAATTATCCTCGGAATAGGAACATGTTTAGGTGTAATGGCATAGTTCAGACCATTTTTGAGTATCTGCATTTCCTGTGTATTGAGTTGTCTTGTAGATAAATTAATTACCCACCTCGATTTGTCAACATATGCTTCGGTATTTGTGGTTACACCTAGCAAATTAAGTTTTTGTTCATGCCTAGATTTAATAGTAGCTTTCTTTTTCTCCGAGTTATGTTTAATGACATTTTGAAGGTCTTGCAAGTGTTCTAGTGACAAAATATTCGATAAAATGTTTAAATTGTTTTGATACTCATCCTGTTTTTGCTTGATTTTGTAATGACCATGATGAATGCGAAGTCTTAGGAAACTCCAACCCGCTTTTGACATTATATGGTTACCCTCTTTGCAGATGATAGGAGGCGTAAATCGAAGACTTTTCGGTAATATCTTGGCGTTCTTTAACTCGTGATTAAATGACAAATGCTCTTTCTGTTTGACAATGCTATAGCATTTCCTTTCAAGGCCTCTTGCGATCTTCATAGCACCTGAACCATATTGTAAATTTATAAGACGAAAAATGCTAAAATTGCAGCTAGGATTCATATTTATATAAAAGATTAAAAATTCTTGTCACTAGCTATATGAAAACGTAATCACGTTTATAAAAAGTTCTAAAAGACGTTTCGATCAGAAACCTCCGATCTTCGTCAGTTGACAATTAAAAACTAAGAGGCTAATAACAGGCCTCTATTTATGCAGTTCGTTAGCTAATTAAGATGATTAGGGAGCTATAAATATCCGGAATGTCAACGTGGTCATTGCCAGAATTTTTGTCCACTTGGGAATACCAAGCCTCGAGAAACAAACGTTTATGATAATTTTTTTCCCTACTAACTATTTTGGCATTCATAAATATATATATATATATATATATATATATATATATATATATATATATATAATATATATATATTATATTTATATATACTCCCTATACTCTACTCACTATATATCTGCTAATTAATATATAGTGGCTAAACTGAATCTATAATTAGGCCAGTCAACTAAGCTTTATATTTTAATTATTTTTATTTAGTCTCATGAAATCCTGGATGAATTAAGTGCTCTATTTCCAGAAAAGAATGTTGAGGTCATCCAAAGTGCATTGGCTGCCAGTGGGGGAGATAAAAGTGTAGCTGCATCAAGGCTCATTCAGTGGTCTGGTGTTGATACTGGGACAACTAGTATGTACAAACCAATTTATTAACAGGCATCCTAGATATACCACAATTTATACAATAAATGTAAACAAATCTGTAAAGAAATGTATTTGAATTAACCCTTTAGACCCTTACTATTCCACTCTTGTCAAAGAATAAAAGCTTGTCAAGAATAATGTCTCCATTATTTTCTTTACAGGTACTGATACATGTACTGTTACAAATGAAGATGCACTTGGCAATGAAGATGAAACAGAGCTTATGAGGTCAACATTTGGTGAACTTGGTGATGGAATAACCACTGATCATGTAAAGATGTACAGACGAGAAACTCTGGATGAGTTTGGTCCCCCACTGCGGATTTATGTTAATCGGATGAAAGAAGAGTTCACATCAGATATCTTCGCTCTGTACAAGAAACCAAACCCACTTTTTCGTTCAAAACCAAGGGTTAGATTTGAAAATGAAGCAGCAGTTGGTGATGGTCCCTTGCGAGAGTTTTTAAGCATAGTGATCGGACTTATCCAGGATGGCATTCATTTGGATCAGAGCACAAAACTGACCATTTTCTTCAAGGGTCAGCAAGATCACAAGGTCCCAGTTCCGAATGCTTTGTTACGAAATTCGAAACTGTATGTGAGTATTGGAAGGATCGTTGCCCATTCCTTCCTCCATGGAGGTCCGCCAGTATATGGCCTATCACCAGCCATTCTAAATTTTTGGGCTTGTGATGATGAAGAAATCGCTGAGGCACTTGCCATCGAAGATGTCCCAGACCATGAATTGCGTGTTGCATTGCATGAGGCAAGCTCTTGTGTTATATATTATGAACTTAATAGCTATAATAATTATAAGTAAAATAAAATAAATTTTAGTTTGATTATATTACAGTTATCAGGACTAGAGAAAGATGAAAACCCCTCAGATGCACTGAAAACCATCCTGTTACCCTACTGTGATGAGGCAGCTGTCCTGGAGGTGCCATTAAGTGGAGAAACAAGGCACGTGGTTATTCAACAGATTATACACTACAATGTTATTGGCAAACGTCGATGTGAACTGACAGATCTTGCAACAGGGATGAATGAACGGTCTCTTGTGAATTTTCTGAAGGCACATAGTGAGATGATAAAAGTTGTGTTCCCCAGAGAATGTGAATCTGTGATTGACAAGGAACAGTTAAAAAACATGATTGAATTTGAAAATGGGAACCACTAACAACAACAAGTTCTAATGGCTTACATGCACCAATTCATTGATGAAGCCAATGAAGATAAAGAAGGTAAATACAGCATTAGCTGTCAGTAGGTCATTTTAATTTATAACCTGTTTATGGGTTGCATTGGCTCAATTGAAAAGTGACATGCACGAAGTCTTAAACAACATTTTCTTGATGATTCAAATATTTTAACATTTTACAATGCACTAACATTTCTAATTTTTTTTTAAAATAATCTTACAAGAGTATCAGGATACTGACGTAACGATCTAACATGATATAATATGTTACATTGTCAGTAAAATTTCTTCATTCACATTACTTTTTACATTTCTTCCTACATTTAATTCACATTTCTTTTAGCTGGTATAGGTTTGCGAGATTTGATGTCATTTTGGACAGGTTGGGAAATATTGCCAAGTAATGGAGGACGCCTGTTCATCCAGTTAGATGAAGTTGGTCAGGTACAAGAGGCAACTACCTGTACGCGGCTGGTTGAGAGCAAAGCTTGCTTTAACCGGCTTATCCTTCAATCATCTTATGTCAATTATGCATGTTTTAAGGGTTGTGTTACTAAAGCTCTGAAATATGGTGCTAGGGGATATTCATCATTTTGAATAACATTACCCTGAAGTCATCATGATTAATGGAGTACATGCATGATCACCCAAATTTGAAATAAGGTAGGGCATGCATATGAATACAATTAACATCCATCACTGTCACCGTTACTAGCACTATTTCTATTCAGTTGCAGTAGTTTTCATCCACAAAAATTTAATTCAATTTTTGTTTGTTTTGTTGTGCAATATGGATAAGTTGCAATGTTGAAATATTGGTAACAAACTTTGGATACATGTATTCATACAAAATTGCTTATGGAGGCACCATATAGTTATGCATAATCAGAATAAGCACAGGCTAGTAGAGCAAAATTTATCATTTAAGGATGGAGAAAAAGTATAAATTAAACTATTGTCTTCATGCAAAGACTTTAACATGCTGCGAGGAATGGAAAACAATTTGGTACTTCTTGTTGTTATGGCATTTTGAGATGGCAGCCGAAAGCCTACTTTTCCTTTTTATCTTGCAAATAAGTATGGTTACACTCCAATCATCCTCAACTATTTTTGTTGTGTTTTTGTTATTAGTACATGTACCCAGTAATTATTCAAAGTTGAGAAATGTTGTTTATATTTATAGTTGCATAGTTAGCTGGCATTCATTTAGTGCAATAACTGTTCATAGAGGTGCAGATTCTATAGTCATGTTATCATCAATGTCATACAAAATATCAAAATTTTAAGTGAGTAGTGATGAAAACATTGTTTAGACATTTCTCCTACTAAGAGAAATGAATACAACCTCTATTTAGCTGCCATTGCTTAAATGTCATCCATGGGTATATCTATTGTGCTTGGCTATTGTGCTATTAATTGCCAATGCATATACACTTACAAAAATTGTAATTAAGCTGTCCATACTGATACAGTTCTGTAAGGCATTTTTCAAACTATGTTTACCGCTTAGTTAAATCAAGTAAAGTTAAAGTTAGTTAAAGTATCAATGATAATGTTAAGCACTCCAAGGCTCAATGTTTTCTATGGATGTTAAGTTGTTATTGCAGTTCATTAGAAGAACAATAAATAATATGTTGTGTTCTTGTTGTTCCAAACTGATCTTCTTGGTTGCTATGAAGTATAAAATTATATTAGATTGTTTATGGGATAACCAAACTGTTAAATCCTCTGTCAGATAATTGTGATCCTTCTTCTAGCTTAATGTTACTGACCATTGTATAATGGCTTAAATTCTGTAAGATACAGGAACATTCATACATACCTATAGGTACTGAATAAACCTGAGTGTTTCAAGGTATATGTCAACACCATGTACATCAGATTCACGCAATGGGTCAATGGCAGTAGATAGTAAGGACAGAACTTCATTTTCCAGTGAGAAGGCTATTGGAGGTACTTCAACGAATGGTACATCTTCATTAATTTCACCATCCCACTCTTCTGAAGGAGCAGGACCATCTGGATCAATGCCATATGCATTACTTTCGCTCTGATAATACAAAGAATACACAATACTACATGAATAACAGAGACATGTCTGATGATTTACAGTACACGCAGTGACTTAGTAGCTGAATTTTTTGAACTGTACATAAAGTGTCATATATACGTATATTATTACAATTATAAATAACAAAAATTTAGGAGTTAACAAACATATTTAACAATATATGGGGTGACAATTTAAATACTCAGTGAATATAGTTATTATTAATTTTATAAGATTCATTTCAAAACATTTTCATACTGCAGGGCACAGGCATGCCTTTTGCCTGACCCTCATACCTAAAAAATCTATTTACAGCATAATTACATCACCTGGTTAGCGAATTCAATGGATGTTCTTAGATCAGTCTTGGCCACTGCTAATGTTCCTTCAATAAACAACTGCTCGGGTGAAGAGTTGTGTTCAGTGCTAAGTGGCCCGTTATTATGACCACAGTTAATAAAATAAGATGGTTTGGCTAGCCGGCAAACTTCAAAGGGTTTTCGCAAGCGGCGGCAAATGTGTTGAGGCACAAAGGAAAAAAATGTCACGTGATGAGATAAGGGGGTGAATGTCTCGAATTACATAAGGGATTATATTACAGCTGGCAATCTTTTTGTCTTTTCACCCCAAAATATTGCACTAAAATAGCTCGGCATTCTTTGATACAAAAGTATAACTAAGCAAGGGTAATGGACGAAGATTTGGAGGCAATTGTACTGATTCCAGAAGAGAGAGAAAGCGAATGTACTTCGAGCTTGGTTGGCGAGGAGTGAGAATTCGCTGAAGGTGAAGATATCTTGCCGTTTAACTTTGACATTGCTTTGTCCGTAGTCGAAGGAAACGAAGACCCGATGGAAGAAGAGATTGATGATGCTATAAGCGAAATATCCGGCGAAAAGTCGTTTCCTTGCAATAGCTGTGAGAAGATTTGTAAGTCAAAGGGAGGGTTGACTAGACATATAAACGCGAAACATAAGAACAAAGCTGGACATGGAAACAAGAACGTACCTTCATCAGTAGCTAAACTTACAAAAGAAGAGCTGTCCTCAATTATTGAGAAAATAAAGGCAAAAATAACGAAGGATGGTTTTTGGGACGCTGAAATGACTGCAAGTATGGCGAGTATATCATCAAACGATGCTCTATACAACCGTATACAACCGTATACAGCCTGTTTATGAGCTATTTTGTCGCAAACGTAATCAAGACAAATTTATAATGGAATTTTATGAACTTATTCCAGAGTCGACTATCACATTACAATGTCAAAACCGACAACTCTGTAGTCTGATAATGATATCCACATAGATGCCAAGTTCGTCGATTAGCTACGCGTGAGATATACCACACCGCGGCAAATCTAGGGGGGTGGGGGAGCATGCCCCCCCGGAAAATTTTTTAAATTTGGGTCTCTGAAATGGCATTTCCAGCGTTCTGAGGACATATTTAAAAAAATTTAGAGAGAAAGCTCGGTCACTATTGACTAGATATAAGCAACCAAAAGGCCATTAAAATCCGAATTAACAGGGTGAGATCAAGTGGTGCGGAGGTAAAAAGACCCTGGGTACGAGGTTGATTTCACCGCTTAGGTCTTAACACCTTGCTGGTATTAAAACACATTAAACGTCATGAAACAGAACGCCTCTTTTTTAACCAAAATGTAATTTAATTGAAGGGAACAACACGCAATATAATAAATTCTAACTATTATATAAACTAATCTATGTGATCTAGCATTAATTAGTTAAAGTTCATCATGCATCAGTCAAGCGAATTTTATTTGTTCGAGTGTTCTTTGTTATAATTCCAAGTGGCAGATTTAGCTGTCTTCAGAAGATCTTTCGTTGGCTCAAATTGATGGGCTGGCACGTCATTAGCAAGTTTTACAGTCAAAATGCTTGATAATGTTCCCCTGGGATCTAGATTAGGCCGGAACGCTGTTTTGTTCTTACGAACCATAGAGAAAATACGCTCTTCTTGGGCGTTAGAATGTGGGATTAAGAGAACCAGCGTAGCTATCCTGGAAAGTCTCAAAAAGCGAGTGGTATGATCTGGGGCCTTCAGCGATGAAAGGTAATGCCAAATGATATCCATCCTGTAATAAAATTTGTCGTTTTCGCTATCAACTTTAACTGTAGCTTTATCCCAAATTGGTTTGGGTATATCTTCATCACGGAGCAGTTGAAACTCGACAAATTCCTCAGATAGCTTGTCCATTTCTTCAGAGGATTGGAAAGGCAATATCGAGTTAAATCTAAAAGTGTAAAACCAAAATATGCAGAAACAGCCGAAAAACTGCAGCACAGGATTTCAAATCATGTAACTGAGTTTGACTGGCGGGGTGTAGAAGCTATTTTAATGTCACTCTAATTCACCTTTCTACAAAGTATTCCACTTCGGTAATGTTAGCGCTCTCTCTCCTGTGAAAATTTAAAAATCTGGCATTTTGTAGCAAGTCATCCTTTAACGGTAGGTTTGTGATGGCATACTCCAAGGCACGGACGTAGAATGCTCTAACACTCCTGTAGAAAGTGCTTTTCTGCACTGGGCTGATATCACCCTCTTCCAATAGCTTGCGAAGACGTACTTTGGTGTGCAACCCAATAAACAGCAAATTGTCTAAAAAAACATACGACGTATTATTATAATACAAAGTCAATTCATTATGGATGTTTCATGTACATATGTATGTATACATGTAACAATAGTTCTGTATGCCGGTGTATCTTACCTGGATGCTGAAATTCTGGCTCCTTAAAATCAAGAGTACTAAAGTCTCCATTTGCTTCCTTAATAGCTGTCACAGTGAGAAATTTGCCAGCAAGCTTCTGCAAAAACGAAGTTGTTTGCTCAAAGACAACTGGAATTATAGGGTCTTCCCTTTGTAGAAACATGTTAAAATGAATAAATGTTTGAAGAGATGATTGGT